GACATGTGCTCAAACTTGATTGTGTCATTTTTGCCAAATTTGATTAAGCTATGGGGCCCAGCCTCTGGTCCCCCAAAATGATGCTGGTCCCCACAAAGCTAATGTGCTCTCTGTTTTTTTGCCCCCACAAGTATAGATGAACAAACCCACGTATTCATTTAATGGGACATTACATTGATTTACATTCATTTTCTGGAAACTTACCCTAAACAATGTTACATTTTGGGAACTTGCTTTCTGTCCCTATAAGGATGTTGAGTCCCCAAAGTGTGACTGTGTAAACAGATTCACAGTATGTCCCCACAACATGAGTAATACCAGGCCATATACACACATATTCCTACCTTACAAAACCCAGACTTTGAGTCTAGGGGTTTTGGATGCCAAAATCCAATGAGCCTAATAACGATTGAACCCACATCCTCAGAACTTCCAAGACTCTTCTAACACCCTATAATTTTATATAATTTGCTCCATGTTATGCTGCCACTGGAGACCTGCCCTGGACTGTGCTCACATACATATGCATCTTATATATATGATGATATTACAAGTTAACATATCGGCTTGGCTTGTTTAGTCATTGTGCATTACTGTAAATGCTGGAGTGTGAATCTCTGGTAACTAGGAGGGGAAGTGTCTTTCTGACAGTGAGACGTGTGAACCTTCTTCCCTGTGGTGTGCTTTGCCTTTTGCTCGATCATTACACAGAACATTTCACACAGCCTTCATATGAATGAGGTGCAGATATTAAAGAAAATACCTTAATTTCAATTTCCCCAAATATTCCTAAGGTGTATTTACTGTTTTTGTTGCTTACTCAACTTATACAATATAATTCAATCAGTGATCAGTGCATACTCCTTTATCCAAAAAGCAACAGACCCAACTATGATAGATAATTAATTTTGGCTTAACTTTGAGGCACTTATTTAAACCAGTTCATATTCCTCCTCACGTAAGGTTCAGAAAACATACTGTAAGTTTTACCTCATGGCAGCTAGTAGCCCTCTTCTTTTCAGTATGTTGCTAACACATTTCTGTGTTTCCCGAAACTTTTCCTGGCTTGAGTTTCTGCCATTAATTGTCAGTGGAATAGCTTAACTGGCAGGAATGTGTACACATGCTCTTCTTCTATGTTGCACTTGTTTGCTGGTGTCCAAAACACATTGCTCCACACAGGAGCACAGGGCATTGTTAAATAAAAGATATGACTACTTATTCCTCTGCTGCTTAAGGCTAAGATTAGGCTGTAGTCATAATCGTTGGGTTTAGGAGTTACATATTTTAGTGAGGATCCTCACAAACATAAATGCACAAATGTGTGTGTACTGTGTATGTGTGTGTGTATGACTGTGCCTTGTTTGAGCCAGTTAGGACCAGAGCAGAGCTGCTGGCCATATCTAATCCCATTCAACAGCTCCATGCATGATACAACACACAAGGACACTTCAAACACTCGTCCCCAATACAGATAGTTCATAAGCGATCCACGGCAAACACGCTGTACTCTTTAACATGTTCACCCAACATGTGGTGCATGCGTCACAACAGCTCCTCACATATCAAACGCACAACCTCTGTCTTATAGCATTTATACATAGGAATGTGCTTCAAATGTGAAAACAAGTTGATAATGTTGCCATACTTTGAGTTCCTTTGTTTGTGAGCACATGGATTCACCCTGGTGACACAATAGACAAATACCAGCTCAGATTTCAAGGACAACAGGACTTCATGTACAGTAATAGCAGACAGTGGAATGATGGACTATATAGACTATACATCAAAAACTGGCTTATGTAGGACATCACAGAGGCTCTGCAGGCTGAGGTGTTATGTTCTTGAATCATCTTTGTTTTCAGAAGAATCTGTGACTTAGTTGTATGCCATCCCAGTTTCATTAGATCAATTGTCTCAGAGAAATTCAGATGGATCTATTTTCTGGTTCAGATGGGCACAACAGCAAAGTAAACAATGTACTGTCCTCTTCATGAAGACTGGGGTGGTGTCTCTCGCCTCTCTCTCTGTGGCTGCGGCTGATAGTACAACTGCTGCAGGACCAAGGCCGACTGCTCGCCCTTACATAACCACATTCATTCACCCAGAGAGAGGGGGGTGGGGGTGATGGGGT